TATGGATTATCGGCACACTCCAGCCGGCTGCGAGACGGTGGTCTGGTCCACTTCCATACACGACCATCTGCAGTGACCCGTCGTACGCTGTGTGACCTGTGTCAAGGGGCCTCTCAACATGACGAGCGGGATAACCGCCATTGCCTTCAGGATAGAGTCCGGCATGGACTACCTATTGCCCAAAGGTCGGCCGCCGGCTTCTTACGTCCCCGAAGAATGTTCCACGACGAGGGGGAACCGCCATTTGGCGACTTCCGCCCCGTCCATGTGCGGTGAAGGGCACGGATGGGGAACACAAATGTCACCACATCCGAACCGAACCCAACGGACGGGTCACTATGTCGCACGGGGCTGCGGAAGGGAACGTGTGAGACGGGTGGGCGAGGCTTCCGATGAGGCTCGCCCCTCCTGGATTTGTATTTGTATTTGTAAGTGCTGTGCGATGTGGCGACGCTTTCTGTCCCGAGCGTGACTGTAGTGATGAGTAGTAAGAAGTGCGGGATGCCCGACAAGACAAAGCAAGAGCGGGTACACACGACCGCCGGGTACGGGGACCGCCCACCCGCCGATCGGGGCCGGAGGCTCGGTAGTGATCTGGAGGTTGCGGGGCAGCACGGCCGGTGGTGATGGTGTCCGACGCCGGTTGATATCAGCGGTGCTGTCGTCGATACGGAAGCCGAAGGGGTCGAGAATTGCAGCAAAAGTCGCGGGCGACTGATGGCGGTCGAAGTTGCCTGGCTCTCAATTACTGACAAGCATAAAGGACCAGTGACTTGACGGTTTGGTGCACGCTCTACTGGATGATATTAGCTCAGCCGTCGTCCTCAACGGCGCGTCTTGGACTCGGTGTTAGTCCCACGCTGCTCGAATATGAGGCTCTGCTGGGGGTGCAGGCCAGCATCACATCCACAGTCTCGTGCTTCGCGGCTCACATATCAGATGACTAGGGCCGTGTGTTATGCCCATCCTAAAAACCAACCAAGGCGATATCCTTTGGGCTCTTTCCGTTTAAGGCCTTGCTTGTACGAGACTCATCAAAGAACCCGTGTCCTCGTGCTGTATACTCGCTTGATACCGTGTGACCAAAAGCTGCTTGCTGGGGTAGAGCTAGCTGCTGACATCACTGGCCCGACCCAGACGCGTGCGGTCTGAGTGCCGAGCTGACGACACGGTCTGGAGGTTTCATGATTTGATGGCGTACTCTCTGTCGAGGGGATCTGCTTCAACCGCCGAAGACCCCAAGTCACAGTGTAAAACATGAACAACGGCTACCTTCCCGAGCAAGGTTCGGAAGCTGCTGGTCTTACCTAGCGACTAATAGTCGCTCTCTACGAGTATTATACTCGGCTTTGAAAAGACTATACGCATTCCGCCGAGATATCAAGCTCAGCATCCGGTTTTCAACTAAAGCGACTAATCTCTCGGACCTCGACTTCTAGAGGGCAAGGTGCCGCCTTTCAACGCCAACATATGTGGCATGGATCATATCACGGTGGATTATGACATGATTTCTAATGCGGTAACTCCCTCAATGTGTAAGAGAGCGTAATACTTTGTTAAAGCACTACATTGGCGGGGCAGAATATATTGGATATGTCTAATCTGCACTGCTATGACCAGGGAGCGAGATGGACGCACCAACGGCAACTCTTCTACGTGAGACGGTACTCGAAAGCCTGCCTGGGTTGAGGGCCGTCTCAAAAGTCGTCCCTTGAGAACGATAAGACTCGGCAGCAACCCTTTGCGCGTCTAGAAGGCATGAAGCCTTTATAAGGCAATAACACGACCCGAGGTCGTGACTATCCGAGCGGTATGAAGGTCCAAAACTTCCCCAAGGCAGCAAGTCTTGCTTCACATTTCATCCAGTTCTTTCGGGGACACAACATCCACCCGCACATTGGAATCTTTCGGAAACCCCGTCAGAAGAAGAATTTACCACGATGCCAATCGGGACGAAGGCTAATGTAAGGGCCCGCGAAACGCCACTGACACGCGCAAACAAAGTCGACGTCCTATAAACCCATGCTTGTGTGCGACTTCAGCCTAGACCGCGTGCCTTGAGGAGCTTCTTCTCTCACTGGACTGAGGTGCTTGGAGATCAGGATATGCTCGTGGCCGGAGTGGTTCGCCTCACCGGTCTCGCACGGCGACGCGACACCTCTCACCATTCGTGAGGTGCGTCACACCGTCTGAGGAACTGCCCGTGGTATTTCTTTGCGATATTTCGACGTCAAGCGGTCAAATCGTCATTTTGGGGGCGAGTTTTAGCGTGCCTTTTACTATTGAGTCTTTGCCACAACATTCTGTTCCGAAAGGCAAAGGTGTCTCGATCGGTATTTGACACCACGGCTGCCAACTTGGCAACCGTGATCGCCAGGGGATAAGAGCTTCAAACAGCCTGGCCTGTCGAAAACAAGCCTTCGGGCTCAGACTCGTTGTCGAAGTGAGAGCTAGAGTCTAGGTAATCAGCTTCGTTAGTTCCCAGGAGGGTTTTACTGGCGTGATGTTCGTGTTCCTCGCGGAAAGCTGGGCAATGACGATGGCTCTACGTATTGCCCCATCATCGCCAACACCCTGACCCTTTTCTTCTTCGACTTGGCTCAATTAAATTCGCGAGCGTGCGGCAGACAACATGCGATTCGCGTTGGCAAATTCAAAAACAATCAAAATGACGGTGCCTGGGACGCATGTGCGGACGCCAACATGGCTGATTGTCTACGAAGATAACCAAGAAGAAGAGGGGAAAGGCCTGCGGGCACGCTATCGAACCTGGTCTCGATGGAGTTGATAGAGTCGAAAGGTGCTTTCTAACCTATCATTCAACCGAGCTGGAAGGGGAGAAGCCGTCTTCTCCTGCTCCATTGCATCTGTCATGTTGCCGATCGACGTTGGATTAACCTTGGAAAGTCTAAAGACAAGACCCAGCCCTCGTCCTAAACAAACAACCCCTCTAGCGCTCGTGCCCACCTCTCAACCCTTCCGCTGGGGAAAATGTCTCAACGGATCGTAGATGGGCGATCCTCGAATGTCTCTCCTCCCCTTCCCCCGGCTCGAGCTTGGCCGTCCCCGCGCAGTGGCTCGAGAATTTCCCGGGCGTCGTCGGCTCGAAAGGGTGGACGGCTCCGCAATTGCCCAGTGCCCAGCCGGTTGGCGTTCAACGGTCGAGGGCTCTAGCTGCATCTCGCTAAAACAAAACAGTGTTTAGCGGGCTTGTCGGCACAACGTTGGAGTCGGGAGAAGTTGGTCCAGCGAGACGTGTGGTCTGGACTGTTTGCCAAAGTGGGCGTCAAAACGGGATGGGATTAGTGTGCTTGCTGCGGCAAACGTCATGTCGCTCTGCCGTCGCGTGTTTCCCTTGCCCGGGGGTCCGGCTGCCACGACGGATGTCTCCCGAGCGTTCGTCTTGTATGACGCTGCACTCGAATCGGCTGTTGCACGAGCACAAGCGACCCCTCCAGCAAGGTCAGCAGCAAGGCGGCTGACATGTTGGCACACGGCCCATGGCTTGCATATTGTTACTACATTCATTTGTTGCCCACAGAAAGACACCAGAGAGGTGACCGACCGCAGCAAAGCCGATAACTTGTTGGATCTTGTCGCCAGGTCCGGTAAATAGTGCGGATTTGCTTAGACATATAAAGCAGTCTCAAGTTTCCTGGCTTATAAACCTACATGCCAGCTGTAGGCAGCCCGTCGCAGTGACGTAGCATCGCCTGATATGAGTTCGTCCAATAATGAATTGTGGGCTCCCCCGAGGATTCGGGACGATTAAAGCTATGGACCGCAAACATAATCCACGGTCACAGTCGCGGTGATCACTATCTAGTTACTGAGGCTTCGAACCGCGGTTGATCGTTTGGCCGATAAGCACTATGTATTTGTTTGTGCTGGCTACAGCTGGCTGTGCTCATCCTTTTCATCCACGCCGTCTTCTAGGCTCCCTTCGCCACGGTCAGCTCGCCGAAAATTGAGACTTACGAGTCACGGGTATTTTGCAAGTCGCTTACATATATGGACCAATTTCTCACGGGTACAATGGAGGGTCAGCTATCGTACGCCGAGGGCACCTTTGTCAGACAATCCCAGCGTTCGCTTGAAAAGGGCACAATAATAGCACGAAGCGAGGGAGGCAGATAGCCAAGCCCGGTTGCTTACTGTCCCATTTATTCGACGTAGCCCTAGTCTGTATGGGATGCCTTTGATTTCGCAGCCGCCGCGTCTGCTCCGCCATGCAAGCCTCCGATCCAGAACTTCCCATTTTATCGGTTATTGCGTGGTTTTACGTGCGTGGTGTCCCGCTCCTATTCCTATTGTCTCTTCCTCTTCTTTACTCGCTTCTGTCATCAATCTGCGACTCCGGTGTGTCCTCCAAACAAGACAAACAAAACTACGGGCACCCGGTCTTCGATATACCCCCTTCCTGCGTCTTCTTGTCCTCGTTGTTATCATGCTTTCTTGGCGCCTTTAAAGATACCTGGTTCCGGTGGGTATTTGAGGATCTTCATCTGACAGGTCCCATGGCTCTCTGTCATCAAACACCCCTGGTCAGCTTGGCCTGGGGGCGTAGGACCTCTGTTCCTTTGTGTATTTCCCTGCCTCTTTTTCGTGGAGTTGCGGAGGGAAAACTGGAACTCATACCCCCAGGCAACCAAGCCGTGCCGGCAAAGTACCTTGTGGAGATATGGAGGGTAGCTCCATCTACCCCATCTCCCTCTTTCGTCGTGACACCCAACCTCGCAAGATGACGCCCGCTGATGTACCACCTTTTTCTCTCTTGGACGCTGGGCGTTTTTGTCCCGGGCGATGGCGAGTGCCGGCACGCGATCTGACAAGATCTTCCACAGAGATTAAGGGACGAGGATAAAGAGGCACCTTCCCCCCGTCTCCAGGTCTTCGTGAGATTTTGTTGTTTGCTTGAGCTCTACTTTGTTTGACAAAACCCCCCACCATTTGTAATTAGAGGCCTCGTCTGCTTCATCTCACTTACACCAAAACCAACCATGAAGTCCTCCCTCCTCCTCCCCTTCGCCACCTTGGCCTCGGCCATCTGCCACCACCGCACATCCCTCTATGCCCGGAGCCACGGCCTGACGATCCGCGACGAAGGCGGCGTCGAGGTCGCAACCTTTGGTTACAACGACCTCACGGGTCCCCTCAACTGGCACAGCCACAGCAACCAGAGCTCAAAGTGCGCCACGGGCACCCAACAGAGTCCAATCAACCTCAATGACACCTCGGCGACACTCGTCCCCGGCACAAGCCTGGGCTTCGACGTGCCGGACCTGCCTCATGGCGCAGAGTTCGAGAACCTAGGCAGCACGCTCGAAGTGGTCGCGCAGAACGGCACGCTGATGAGGCACGGGAGGAAGTTCCACCTGAAACAGTTCCACTTCCACACGCCGAGCGAGCATCGTGTCGAGAGCGAGTATTTTCCCATGGAGGTGCACTTTGTGTTCGAGGCCGATGCGGAGCAGTTGAAGAGTAAGCCCTGTTCCTGTTGCCTACTCTCTCACCTTGTCTATTCGTAAAGCAAGGTTATGGACCAAACGCAAGCTAACACCGCCGCTTTCTTTCCCCACAGACTCCACGGGTCCCAGCAATTCCGTCCTCGGGTTCCTCATTGAGGTCGACAACAGTGCTCCCTCGTCCTTCCTCAAGAGCGTCTTCGCGCACCTCGACGAGGTCGAGGAACCCGGCTCGCACTCTGAGACGGAAGGCCTGAGCTTCTGCGAGCTCCGGACCGTGCTGGAGCACTCGGACGTGTACCAGTACGACGGCTCGCTGACGACGCCGCCTTGCACTGAGGGCATCGCGTGGAACGTCGTCGCGGAGCCGCTGCGAATCGACGACGTCACGTACCGCGCTGCGAAGAAGGTCATGAAGTTCAACGCGCGCTACACACAAAACGTCCCTGGGCGGGTGAACCTGTTGGACCACTCAAGGGTCATGCTCAACGCAATTTCCGCATAGGGTACCCTGACTCGAGATGAGCCGATAACTTGGGCGCAGCAAGGGTAGGGAATGCGAAAGGATCAGTTGAGGAGAAGCCGGAAACTTGGGGTACACGCGGGGGGTGTGGACTTTCGTAGTCTGGCTTGTGGATCTTGTAGAGATAGAAGCGTTTTATTTTTATTTGGCGTTGGTGAGGGGCGGCATACATAGACATGGGGAGACGAGTTGAGAGGTTGGTGAGCGACGGTACATGATCTGCACATATGTGGTCATATCCGATACAGAGAGGATGGAGACATATGGAGTCAGAATTACAACACCTACATCGTATCACAGCGTATCGGGTACTGGGCTCAGTTAAGAAACTTAGCGTAGGCAACCAGTCATAAATTTTAAGGTAAACAAGCGCGATACTGTAATGTAACTGGTATTATTCTGAATAAGCTGCTACTATCAGGGGCTTGGCTGTCATTATTGACAGCTGAGGCCCATGGTACCGCAAGATTGCTTCCCATCATGCCAAGAAAACACTGTATCCCAGAGTAGCCCCTTTCCGAGTTATCTTCGCGAAGAACCGGGGTTCCCGCCATCACGTTATTCGTCTTCTCCGTCAAGCAACGCTCATGAGTAGTTGCCTACGAGGAAAAGAAAGAAACAACACGGATGTTGACCGGAGCGATGTTACCCTCATGGGACCGTACAGTTCCATTCCCTTCTCCGCATTGCGGGCGGTGCGAACCCAGAATGTCAATGGAAGGATTCAATTGGAGCAAGAGTAGTTGCTGGGTTGAGAGGCTCCCCTGGTCCAGTTGGAACGGGAGAAAAGAGGTTGACGACGCGATCGTCTGATTGGTGGCCCCCGTCGTGCCCCATCTTCAACGGTTTTTTTTTTTTCACTTGGCACAATTCAAGCTCATTCATCTACTCGTTGCTGTGAACTTGCCAAGGCGTCAGTACGCGAGGGGTAGGAAGATTGGGTGTGGATTGTACACGACTTGTGGAGCGTCGAGTGGATATCCGTTGCGGCCTGTGGTCCGAGTCTTGCCTTGCGTGATGTGACGGAGGCTGGAAACGAAATGCAAACGTCGCCTCAACGGTACCGTGTCTTGGCGCCGGAAGGACTCGCGCATAACTTCTCCGCATCTCATTGCACTTCACTCTGCAGGGTTTTGTTCTTGCACAGAGCGAATGGGAATGGGACGACGGAAGGACGGGTTTCGCGGCTGCCCGCTTGGCGCCGGAAGCCGCTTGCCGTTTTCTTTAAGCCTTGTGGGGCCACCGGGGTCCCCGAATCGCTGCGATCCTTGGCGGGGCGTGCGGACCGGTCGCCTGCGGTGACGGCGAACGGGACGGCACCTGATTGCCGATTATGTTTGGCGACGGTGTTCTCCACCTGGGAAACATTCTTCACGTGTGACGTTTGCTTCCCTGGGAGATCACTTACACGCAAACAACCTAGTCCCGCTTAAAGATATGGCGGGCCATGTCGCTGAATGAGCGACCGCCGAACAGAAATTGGGAGCTGTGACGGCCACAGTGGGTGTAGACGTTAACCGTCTGGGAGTGGGAGGACTTGCGCTTAGAAGGGCGCGGGGAGTCCGTCGAGACAGCCCTTCTGGTAGTGAAGGAACCTGAGGAGATGGAGCTTGCGTCGGAGCAGGCGCGGCTGCTCTTAGGGCGGGGGGTGTCGAAGTTGGTAGTGTGAGAAGACATCGTCTGAACTGAGTGGAATTGTTGGCTTGTTTCGAGCTGTTATATTCGAGCTGATGGGTGTGTATGTGTGTGAAGTTGACACAAGAGTGATTATAGATGATCGGTGGCTTGAACAGCGAGATAGACTTATCCCGATCGTGGGGGGATCCGTCCTTAAATGCTTGAAGGGCTCATCAGAGCTAGATGCGGCTGCACGGCTGCTTATTCTTGGCTCACGTTGAAAATCGCTTGGTCGGCATGGGTTGGCGACGCTATGGGGCTCGGTGGTCTAGAAAAGCTGTGCCCCGACTGGCCGCTTGCCGACTTGGCCGGATTGCCGGTCAATGGTGGACCCACATGTGGCCGGTCTGCTGGACACGGTGACCACACATGCGAACGCAAGTTGCAAGTGGAGTTGGCACCGTAAGGCAGCTGCTAGAGCAGGCCGCTCCTTTTGTGTGCTTCTTTTGCTTGTTCCGCATTCGTGCTGCCCCAATGGCTGATTTTACGCGGGGATCTGCATACTAAGCCGATCGTTTCGTGACGGCCTCAAAAGCTGGTGCAAGGGATGGGTTTGAGGCCAGTCAATAATCGCCGAATTAGGAAATCACAGGTCTCCTGTGTCTAAGAGCCTCATTCGTTCGACGGTGCAATGACGAACGCGAAACACCGAGCTTGTATGCATGAACCGCATGATTTAATCTCGTGACCATGGGCGACTCTCAGTGTCGGCGAATGAGACGGGAACTCGGCAAGGCAGCGTCGTCAGCAGCGTTCGTTTAGTCGCTTCCGTCCCGCATGTTCGGACGACGCCGAAGGTTTAGCGTCGTTTGCGGACTCTCGGCGCCGTTGCACGTGATGCTTCGTTATCTTGCTGCCTGGTGAGTCGGGCACACCAAGGATACTCAGGCCGCAAGGCATCAATTTGCTGACAGTGAACCGCCATAGGTACTAAGCCAGGGGCACCAGCCACGTTCCCCTGCCACGTTCCTGGCCTTGGCGTCCCGGAACCTTAAGCTTGCAGGTTACCCCAGATTCGGAGCCGTAGGGCTGATGGAAAGGGTCAGTTTGGTGAAGTTTGAACTTGGGGAAATGTAAAGATAATATCTTAAAAGATGATGGCAATTTTCCGGTCTGCCGCAACCGAAATCCCGGTGCAGTGGTTGGGAATTCCAGCCGACCTACTTGTCAAAACCTGGAGACCACCAAATCCCGTTGTGAGCCTTCAACGACAACCGTCGCTGAAAGAAAGCATTTTGAGGCCCGAAAATGATGGGAATCGAGAGATGACATCATTGCCGTTGATCGGTCGACGTTTGGCTTGTCTATGCGCCGCAATTATTTGCATCCCTGAAAGGTCGATGTGCCGGTCTCGACTGTCTGGCTTGTGTTCGCTATGGCAAGATAAGACAAGATGGTCCGTTGTCGCACTTCGTCTGAGCAACACCAGTCTCCCTTCTTCGAGCGGTACTGTGGTCGCGATGATGCGACAAGTTGTGGTGGACACTCGTCGCCCACTTACCCGGGGCCCGACTTTTTTAACCTCGTGCGCCGAGGAGCACCGTCAATCCTTGCAGGATGATTGACATGCTTCAGACTTTCGGTACGTCGAGACGAATATCGGGTGACATAACCGCTGACCGTGCTGGAGCGGTGTAGGATTGAACCCCCATTGCGACGCCGCATCTCAAGAAATGTCGGTTCGAAGATGCAAAAATCCAATGCGAATGAGGCCCCCGATGTGATCCATTGAATCGAGGAAAGATGGGTCTGACAGGCCCAAATTGGCAGTCTCGTAGCCTAAGGATGCAGGGCGCTCGGGCCATATGTGGCTGGTGGCCGCTGCACGTGAGACCCACTCGACTGACTCTCGTCCTTCCTCACCCAAGTGAATGGCGCGCAGCAACGCGCAATGGTGATTTTTCAGCGAAACCGAACTTCTCACCAGCCGGCGGCATAATCATATCTCGTCGTGCAAGATTGCCAGCGACCAACGTCCCGGACATCGAGGTCGACCATATTTTTTTTGCGTCCGGATTGCTCAAACTTCAATGGCGGGTATCCTTGCCACTACCAATACCTGACGCTTCCATTGTTCTTGCACACCATTCTCCCTGAGCGCTAAGACACAGGTACGGCCTTCCTCCCAACTTTTCAGTAGCTGCAATACAGAACAATATTGAGATATTTTCCCTGTTTTGATGTCCTTCTGATCACCTTCTGATAGAGTTCTTGTTGCATGTTGATGCTGACATCACGAGTTCAGACTTAGCTCGCGATACCCAAGCAGCAGAAGCTCGTCAGGCGTGCACAACAATCAAAAGACACGATAGCGATTAACCCGACCGCGCCTACCCCTCGATACTACCTCCGTAAAACGCACGATGCCCTCGAAACGCAAGCGCAATATTGAGGATTTCGATCCTAACAAATCGGATTCTGATGACGAGAACTTTGAGCCTGGCGCCGATGCACCCGTCGTTCGCAGCAAGAAGCGATCGCGCGGGCCCAAAAGTCAAAGGAGCGCTGGAGGCCGGCGACGCAACAACCGATATCGTGGATCAGACATCGAGGACGATGATGATGATGATGTTTCCGATAGCCAAGACGAGGGCTCGTTCGTGTCGGAAGAAGAGGAAGAAGACGAGGATGCGCCTGTCAATGCAGCCGGTCGCCGTGCAAGAAAGGCCGCGACGAAGCACAACAGCTACAAGGAGAGCGATGACGACGAATCTGACATTGTCGAAGAATCAGACGATGTGCTCTCTGAGGATTTACCAAAGCCCAAGAAGAAGGACAGCTTAATGATCAAGCTCAAGGTGCCCAAGACTGCCTCGACACCTGCTCCTGCTGCAACGGTCACCAGGCGATCAACTCGTGCTCGCACCGAAGAACTCGGTGAAGAGCATGTCGAGTTGTCTAACTCCGGCAAACATGCGCGCCCTGCCTCGCGATCTAAGAGCCCCGAGGCCTTGGCCAGGATTCGGTCTTCCCGCTCGATTAAGGGACTCAAGAAGGGCCCTGAGACGATCGAAGAGGCGACTCAGGAAAGCAGCGGCCCCCGTGAAGACGACGCTGACGTTGATGAGCTCGCTGGCGACGTTGACGAAGCTGTTGCTGAGGCCAAGGATATCGAAATGGAGGATGTCAAAGAATCGACCGAGCAAGTGAAAGGCGACATGGATGCGGACGATGACGATGACGAAGATGAGGGTCCAATCACACGGCGAACTCGAGCCAAAAGAGGAAGTGATTCTGCAGCTGGGGCCGCTGAGCCGGACGCCGAGGCCGAGGCCGAAGGCGATGGCGAAGACGATGGTCCTAAACGACGCCTCACTCGCCGAAACGGGCTTCGAAAGTCAAAATCCATTCAAGAGCCGAGTAGTGATTTCGAGCCCGGCGAAGAATCGGCAGAAGAGGAGGCTCATATGTCGGATTCGCCCAAAAAGGATTCCGGCGACGGTGATGACGGTGATTTCGACAGCCCGGCTCCGCGCGGTAGGGCCGCCAAGCCCAAGGGTCGATCCACCCGGAGCTCGCGCCGAGGCGCCGAGTCAGGCGAGGAAGTCGAGCTAGATCAGGACGAACTGGCCGAGGAGCTCCACGAACTTCGGCAAGACTCGCGCTCGCGTCGTACTCGACGACCTTCACCCGCGATCATCTATCAGGAAACTGTTTCGAAGCGACGCAGAGCTGCCGCAAAGCCGATGAACTATTTCATGCCGCCTCTTTCTGCCGTTAACATTGAAGAGGACGACGGCGAAGATCCCGCCCCGACTCCTGCACGTCGTCGCGGAGGTCGCGGGGGCGCAACTCAAGCATGGGATCGTGCTTTGAACACAACTTTTGGTCCCTTTGGAGGAGGCGGCGGTGCCGGGTCGCTTCTCACTGGACCTTGGGGTACAGGTGCTGCAGGAGGCGTTGATTCTGACAGCAGTGACGACGAGATGGGCCAGCGCTCGGGCGCAGCTGGCAACGTCGGCATGACACCCACTTCAGCTGCCGCTCCAGCTGGGCTTCTTCCGGGTCTCGCACAGCCTTTGGGCGGGGACACGGGCGTTGGTGCTACTCCGAACGTTGGCAAGATCAAAAACCAGAAGGCTCTGGCAGATGCTGACCCCCTTGGCGTCGATTTGACTGTTGACTTCAACCACGTTGGCGGTCTCCAAGGTCACATTGACCAGTTGAAGGAGATGGTACAGCTTCCCCTTCTTTATCCGGAGCTCTTCCAGAAGTTCCATGTCACGCCGCCTCGAGGTGTTCTTTTCCACGGCCCACCCGGTACCGGTAAAACTCTTCTTGCTCGAGCCCTCGCTAACTCTGTCGGCATTGGCGGTCGCAAAATCACGTTCTACATGAGGAAGGGCGCTGATGCTCTGAGCAAATGGGTTGGTGAAGCCGAGAAGCAGCTGCGTCTGCTTTTCGAAGAGGCCAGAAGGACACAGCCGAGCATCATTTTCTTTGATGAAATCGACGGACTGGCGCCTGTACGCTCCAGCAAGCAGGAGCAGATTCATGCCTCCATTGTGTCAACACTCCTGGCCTTGATGGACGGTATGGACGGTCGCGGGCAGGTCATTGTTATTGGTGCCACCAATCGTCCAGACAACATTGATCCGGCCCTAAGGAGACCTGGCAGATTTGACCGCGAGTTTTACTTCCCACTTCCTGATGTGGCCGGTCGAAAGTCAATCCTCGAGATCCACACGAAGGACTGGGGCTCTCAGAGCCGTTCAAGCAGCAACTTGCCGAGAATACCAAGGGCTACGGCGGTGCTGATCTTCGAGCCCTTTGCACAGAAGCTGCTCTCAACGCTATCCAGAGGACATACCCGCAGGTTTACTCATCAAAAGACAAGCTAATTGTCAATGCGGACAACATCAGCATCCATGCGACAGACTTTATGCTGTCCATTAAGAAAATGGTTCCCTCGTCAGAGAGGTCTGCAGGCACTGGCGCAGCTCCCTTGCCTAAAGGCATTGAGCCGCTGCTGCGGGACCAGTTCGGGTCGATCAAGAAGG